AACATATTCACGTATCGGCTGATACCTAACAAGAAAAAAACACAAATATCGACTGAAAATATTGTCCAGCTGATGCATCGGTCTGTCTCTATTAGACACTATGTTAAAAACTAGGTCTTTACAATGATTGCTGTAAAAAATCAAATACAGATCCAATTCAATACATTAAAACAATACAGGTTATTTGTTTATCCTTTGGCCCTAGAAACCAATTATTATTCTGAATTAAAAACATGTAAATAATGTTGATTAATGATGGATTTATGGCATTTACCTCCAGTGTTTTGGACACTTCAGAGTAGATGATACCCTGGAAGTAAATTTTTTTTCTTTTTGTTTAGCTGACTGAGCGGATTTAGCTGCATTTTTCAGTAAAGAGCGTTGATGGATGGTTTCTGATTCAAGGTGACAGACGAGTCCTGAATGATTACCAGGAGGTGTGTCAGAATAAAAAGCACTGCGACCTTGTGAACTCAGCAAATGAGTAGCCCTCAGCTAAAGTGCGTTAATCCTGATCTGCCGGTGGGCTGACAAAGAGCTTAGCTTTTTTAGGCTTTCACTGCATGTGACCCAGTCCTTGTTTAAGGTTGAATCGGGAAAAAAAGGAATGAAGGAACAAAAATTGAGATAGAAGTGCAGCGATGATGTGAAAACGGGTAAAAGCTGGAGGTTCTTATTGATTTCCTTTAATAAATATGAAGCTGTCTCTACAGGCTCAGTGGAACAGAGACTGTTAGTCTTTTATGAGAAGGAAGGGATAAAAAACAATACTTCTATATGTTTTTGTTCTGACCTAAAACTCAAAACAAGAGCAAACTGTTTGAAGTAGGGGGAAAAACTGTTTTTATATTTGCTTGTGAACTTTCTGGTTAAGCTTTAGTAATGTTACTGCAATGAAAACCAAACTGGAGTCATTTAAAATATAGAAATGAACTCAACGGACCTGCTGTACTGTTTAGGAAAGAAAAATAAGCCACCTGTTGTGACTAAGCCTTAGACGATTTAAAACTATAACATAAACATGCATCAATGCACAAAAATTTCTCAATATTTCAGGCTTCTGTTTAAATTTCTTCCTGTTTGTTTTTACGATTACCTTTGCTTCTTTAAATCCACATAAGCTGAACACCTGACTCATTTAGGGATTTACTTAATCTTCCATTTTAATTCAATGACTTGCATTGAACATTTAGCTACCTTCTGGCGCTTTTCTCCTTACTGAACAGGTATAGCTGGGTTGAGATGTAAGTGCTTTCACCAATTTTGGACAAGTCCCACTAGTGATCAAGCCTGTCCTTTCTAATGCCTTTAGATGTACCAATACTGAGGTACTTCATCATCAGGCTATCCATTTTGGCCCCAAATCAAAATGTCGCCATGCCTTATACCTATCAGCTGAGATATGTAGTAATTTTAGCTTCATCATAACGCAGGACGAGTTTCAAAAAACTATGGTCTTTAACTCAGAGTGTGTTTTTTCAACAATGATCTAGCATCTAAGGACTCAGAAAAGAACATTTAAAACTTTAAAGACCATTTTCCTACTATATCATTAAACAAAACTGCTCTGGTTTTTGTAATGCCATATAAAGCACCTAGCTCCTTCCTAATCATACAGGTGTTCAAACCTTAAATTAAGACATCTTTAACCAAATGAATGCTATAAAATTCTTCTTTAAGACACTAGAGAATTAATTGCTGTTTTGTTTACACTGGATATCAACCTTTGTTGTACATAGTTGAGGTTTTGCCTTTATTTATCCAGGTTTGCCCCTCTTTTCCCTGGAAGACCTTTCCAAGATAGCAGCTACCTGGTTGCATAACGTAGAACAGTCACTTGTAGCCTTCAAAGATCCCTCCAAGGCTTTCATTAAGTTTTGTAGATCTAGTTCAGATTCAAGAATTGAGGTTCCTTAAGAGCCTGGAAAGATATACAACTGATTGCATGATTTATCAGGTCTGAGTAAATATAGCAATAAATCACTCTAGTTTAGATTTTTTCTTCCTCCCTGCATCATGTTTATGTCCACTTCTTGAACCCTTACCTCTTTTCTCCCCATGTCTTCCCTTACATCATTTCTTGTGTCCCACCACCACTGGTCTCCATCTTCCTTCTTTTCTTTCCCTTCTACCCTAATGTCCCTATCTGTTTTCCTCACGGTTTGTCCTTCCTTCCTTGTCTCTTTTCCTCCTTCCTTTGTCTTTTGTGTGCCTATTTATTCACCTTAAAAGTTACCTCCTTCCTTTATTTTCTGTCAGTCTTCCTTTCCTTGTGCCACATATATTTTCTTATTTCTTTCACTCTTCCATGTATTCTTCTTGTACGTTCTCGTGTTTTTTCTTTCAACTACATCCATCCTAGTTGAGTTCAGACTGGTTGAACCGTCATTTTTGTAATCTTAATTGAAAAGGTTTTAGCTGTGAACAGCCAAAGGAGAGGACTTACATTTTAGATCAGCACTGCAAAGTGTCACCCCTGATTTATACTTCGAAACTAGGTCGTCTGCGTAGGTGTCGCAGTAAACAAAAAGCCATCCTCGCCCCCCCGCAGACACTCTGCTGCACCTCTCCCAAATTGCAGGTGAACGCAGACAGGAGGCCAGCTTGTTTTTATTTTTATTACAGCAATTGCGGAAAACAACTCGTGAAGTTGGACCAGCTAGAAGAGCGAGGTGCGCTAGAACACTGAGGCCCTTTTCCCGCCTGGATCTCCACTCTTTTTCGCCCTCATTGTCCCTCTGTTGTCGGACAAACTCGCCCCCACTTCCTTATCACCTTGGCCGTATCTAGACCCACAATAATGAGCATAAATCAAAAATGTCTGCGTCAAGCTCACTGCGACACACTGCTGCGGGGAGTATAACCAGCCCTTTAAAAGGAGGAGGATATGACAGATTTTCTTTATACCAACTGTTATTACGTTTGTGTTTACAGAGATCCTCCGGTCAATTATAGCGAATTTGTAAGGGTAAATTAAACTGACAACTTTTTTTTTATGGGTTGGGGGTGAAATGAAATGCAGATCATTGACAGTCTTGCCTTTAAGTTGCCTATGGTCTTCATGGGAGTCCTTCAATATAACCACCTGGCCTGACCTTCTCTTACAATACACGTTCTCAACTGGGCGAGGCCTTGTGAGTCTCATCATCTCATCCACCTTCTGATACTGTTGGCTCTGGCAATAAAAAAATGCAAAATTTGTCTTTGGTTGTAGCTGCCAAATACTTCTTAACAGGTCCTTAAAGACCTAACAACAAATAGCGCAATGCCTAGACAGGCCATAGCATTAACCTGACAATCTGTAAACTGACTCTAGTAGCTCCTTGAACTCATATTTTCTAACCCTTTTATGCCAGCTGTGGAAAAAGCTTATGGGTCCTCACTCACAACCATACTTTTAACATCCATTAAGATGTTAAAACTTATTGGTTGATGAAATAAGTCAAGAGTACAAAGCTGGGACTAAGCTTTCTTTGAATTTAGGACAGTAGATTACCTGAGTACAGAAAACAAATGAAGTCTGGATTTTGCCAAAATGGCAGACTCGCAATGAAAAATCATACAAGCAGTTTTATTTAAAACACACATGTAAACTGCTCACCATGTGCACTTTGAACATTATATGCATGCGGCTTTAATACCATAAGTCTCAAATATGTTCCTTCTCTGCACTCTCTTGCTTTTTATGTGCCTGTAAGTTCTCTCCTCTTGTGTGTGAGGATCTGTTTCTGTGGCTCATGTCAACTTTTGTTACTTTAAAGTTGTAACCAACCTTAGAAAGTAAACCTGTGATTGGCATCTTTTCAAGAAAATCAAGGCTACTGTTTTACCCTCCTGGTTGTGGATAGTAACGTTAGCAAAACATCTTCAGGCCACTGTTGCCAGTTAAGCTACTTGGATGCTATATTTCTTTTTTTTGAGGTCCTCTAGCGACTGCCTTTAAAGGTATTGTGGAGAATTTTCTCGAATTTTTTAAAAGATCCATCCTCTCCACTTTAAAAAAATGCGTGTGCGAAAGGATGCACGATATATATATGTTCTTATGTATTTGCCTGCCTAGGGACTATGGATGAAAACTAGCTTCGTAGCTATAATCGGGCATATTTACATTTGTTTTTATACTGATGTTCGTTAATGTGCTTTGTCCCTATTCAAATAAATAAATAAACGAGCCCATTTCTCCTCGTGCATGCTCTTTTTAAAAGTTACTGTTCTCATAGCTCATACAAGCTTACATACGTCCGTCCTAACCCGGGAACTTTATAGGGAACTCAGTCAACTTACCGTTCGGACAGATGATCACTTCCCCATTGGTCCACCATCTTTGTTATTAGTCGCCACTGTCGGGTAGCGACAGCATGCCACTTTGACAGCAAATCCCATAATGCTTTGTGATCAAAAGCAACTTTCTTGCTGAGGAGATGCCTACAGTACTTCAGGCTAATCGCTGGTCCACACGCGGATAGAGGAAAATCCATACATAGTGGGGGGTCTTACGGTATTAAGTCTGCACACTTTAAAAATTCCAAATGCACATGGAGAAAAGTTTATTTGTGTGTGTTTTTAGATAGAAATGCTCGTATGATTATTAATTACACGTCTGCACTATTGACAAAATTCTGACCTGATAAAAAGGTCTTATTCTGGTGAAAGACATGCTTCTGTTCATCTCCCTGTATCCTAGAAGGTGCTATATTTGATATTCCCTGTTGCTTTTTTTTAAGTTATCAAACAAATCACACACAATCCATTTATGTATTTAAAAAAAAAAATCTAAATTATTCATGGAATTTAAATGAAAAGCACCATCGTTTATGTGCTCATCTTAGTCCTGCTTTACTCAGAATTTGTTTGTGCTTCATAAAACCACATCACTCCAGAATCTTTTAACCTCAACTGTGGTCATCCATTAATTTCTCGTACTTTCTTGTTTCCAATGACGAATGCCACGATTCTCACTCCTCTCCTTGTGTCCTGTCTGCTTCTTCTCCTACTTGCAGGAAGCTGCCGCTGAAGGAAGAAAATGGCAAAGAGTCTCTCAAGCCGGATACGATTGAAATCAAAGTGCACAGTGACAACAGCATCCACATAAAGCCAGACGACAGCAAAGCATAAAATGTTCAAATAAGAAAATTAATCAAAAAAAGAGTAAAAGATGTAAAGGTAAAGAAAAAGGGGGGTCGGGCCCTCTTTGCCACCAAAAGAACATTCGGATCACGAGACCAACCCCCCCTCCCCACCTCCCTGGAAAAGCGAAAACACTGGAAAATAGTAGAGTACAATACTATATCTGTTTATATTGATGCCCAAATGAAAGGCATGTGTAAATAAAATGAAAAGAGAGGAAACGGGAAGGAAGAAAGGATCGACTTTTAATGACGTCCAGAATGCTTTATGTTCCCCCACACACAAGGATTAAGTAGGAGGCTCTCGTTGCTAAATGATTGTACTTTATTTTCTGCCTTCTTCTGTCTCGCTTTATCAGATCTTTAATGTATTTCTTCAGAATATACTTTATATTGTGTTTTATTAAAGCCCACATGAGATTTAGGATGGTTAAACAGTGTTATAGCCTCCATATCATTTGGTTTTAATGGGTTGAACAATCCTAATTAGAGAGAATAAAGGTGCAGATGTAGAGTCTCCATGCTTTGGATGTTGTCGCCGCAGTGACCGCTTTATGCCTTTAATGTCTGAGCTGGATTTAAAGCTTTGAAAAACGTAAAAAAAAAAAAATGTTTTATTTCATCCGCATAGAGGGGAAAAAGCTGTGGATACTATCAGCCAAAGCATGGAAACATGTGAAAGACACTTGTTTTTTTGTTTTCTTTTGCAGTCCTGTCTCAAATCGGCCTGACATGCTTTTATTTTGAAAAAGGAAAGAAAAAAAAGACGTTTTCTGTTTCTGACTCTCTCTGATGTCGTTATGTGTTGTACATAGGTGAAAAAAACAGATATTTTACAGAGCTTTTATGTAAATATATTAAACAAAAGAAAATGTTTTTTTTCTCTCCACAATGCAAAAGGCTTGGCTTTTGTTAACACCTCCCAGATGAGCAATGGTTTTATTTCCTTCCTCTCCTCTCCTCCTTTCCGTTGTGTTCAGGTCTGAAGTTCAGTGGTGGTGTAATATTATTGCTTTTCCCTATCATTTGCTCTCCCTTAAGGAAAACCCTCCACACTCTGAGGCTATTTCACGGCATCTCAGCTGAGGCAGTAATTACGGCATTAATGTGCCTTTTTTTTTTCTCTCGTTTTATTCATTTTTTGTTCCCTCTCTACGGTGCAATGCTTTTGTTTAGCTCACTCCATGAAATCAACTCTGCATTGCGTCGTTGCTGTTTTTTTCTTGCACCTGAGAATGTGTCGACTTTTTATTGTGATGCTGTGAATCCGGGGAAGCGTGGCGTAGTCGTCTAGGACTGTGGATTGTATTCGTAGCACTGTGGATCGTCGTCGGCCACACTGGACCCATCCAGATGTGTACAGAAAGATGTTGAATGGAGACTGATACTCAGAACTAACTAGCAGGGTTTTCTACACATTCTGGGAGAAGGATGGAACTGGGTTTTAGTATTTTCCAATTCTGTAAGGGTGGACTAAATTTCCTTTTGCGAAGTCTAAAAACTTATTTTCTTTTTTCCTTGTGTCCTTCTTTGCTTCTATTCTTCCTTCTTTCTTTCAGGTCTTTCTTGATTTGTTTTCCATATTATTTATTGTCAACATTTGTTTTTCACTCTTTCCTTACTCATGTCCTGTCTTTCTACCATTCATCATTTCCACCTCCTTGTCACTTTCCTTCCTTTCGTAATTGTGTCTTATCCCATCTTTCAGCCAATTTTTATCTCTTATTTTTGTTCAACTTTTCTTCCTTTCCTTCTTGGCTCCTACCTCCTTTCCTTTATTTGCTCCTTCCTTTTCCTTACCTGTGTCCTTCCATCCCTCCATCCTTCCTCTTCCCTCTATTTCTTCTTATTTATCAATCATTATCTATGTCTTTGTGTCCTTATCTTCTATTGTCGTACTGTAACTTCCAACCTTACTTGTCTCCAACACATTTCTTTCTCTGTCTGCAATTATCCTTACCTTTTTAAAAAAAAACGTATTTCCTTCCTTGTTTTTACATCCTACCCTCTGTTTTCTTTCTCTGTGGCTTATTTGTTCTTCCTTGCTTCTTCCATCCTTCATCCCTCCCTCCTTGTATCCTACCATTCTTCCCTCTGTCCTTCCTTACTCTTCTTACCTTCATTCCTTCCTTCCCGTGTCTTCTGTCGGTCCAGTCATGTAGATTTATACTCCATAGATTCCTGGTGATATTGGCTACTCTTTCTAAGCAGTTGTTAACAGACAAGGAAATGGGAGTGGAAAATCCTGGAACATATACTTGTTTTTAAAAAGTGTAGGAACCCAAATGTTACTGTATAGGCTTCATAACTTTGGTTCTGATGGTGTGTAAAGCATCATCACGCCAGTGTGTGTGAGTAAACACACTTCAGGTTGCATGTGTGTCTGTTGAATGTATCTGCACATCATCGTACTGTAAATTCACGAATGTGTATTTGTTTTGGTTTTTCATTTTAAAGTTTTCTCCCATTGGAACCAAATCTAGATCCCTGGGTTCTGTTTTGTTGTGCTTGGCCTTGGTTTGTGTGCTGCAGGCCTCACGCAGCTCTGCAGGTCATACTGGTGATGACTGCATACCAGATATGAATGCTGCAAGCTATCCCCTTCTTTTTTTTTGTTTGTTTTTTCTCACTGTGGGGTTTGAGACTGCGCTCCGATGCGTAGAACATGATTATGTAGTTCTCGACAGTGATTAATCCCCACCCCTCTTCCCCGCGGCTGCAGCATGTGTCTAAGCCACACCGCCACCTCCGCCGCTCCCTGCCTCTCAGACTCTGCTGGCTTTATCTCAAACACTGAAAAGGCGGCAGCTTTGTTTATTTTATTTTTATTCTTTTTCTCAGTGCAAAAACATGTACCTGCATATCTAAGGTGGATGGTTTCTGCCATGGAGCGGTTCTGCTGCCTGTTAATGATCACTGTAAATACTGGAGCACAGTGCCTGGAGGCTATACAGTTTGTACATGTTCTTTTTGTATTTGAATATGAGTCTAAACCCACTCTCTCCTTGTTTCCTCCACCAAACCTCAGTCCTTTTTTGTTTCTGATTGAGGTTAAGACAGATGTGTTTGAGCTCAGTGTTCATTATGTGTCCTCTTGGTCCCCTCCCCCCTTGTCCCCTGGACTGTCCCTGCTGAGTGTCAATTGTGCAGGAGGTGGGAACTATCGATGTTTCTCTGTATGTACCTGTGGAACACTTGTGACGCGTATCATTTTGCCGCTGTAAATAAACATGTCCTGGTAGACGAGAGTGGTGAGTTGTCTTTTTATCGTTTTCTCTTTTATATTTTGTTTTTTTTTTTGTATTGAAATGAATTAATTACGTCAGGGATCTCCAACCTTTCAAATGTATTTTACCTTGAACCCAGCTAAACAAGACAGTTGGAGAACAGCAAATATTACATAACATTTTTTAAGTAAACACAACTTAATATTTTTTCTTAAAATAAGGGCAAAACATTAAAAGCCTCATAATGAGGAAGCATTGCTTTAAAATTTTCTTGTATTGGATATTTATGTAAAAACATACAGTTTAAAAACTGACATGGACAATAGATCTAAAAACATATGATTGTTTAATGTCATTCTGAAATAAACGTTTAATTAAAATGTTCTTTAAAGAGCCTGATAAGTCTTCGAAGAAAGGTATTTGTTATATACAGGTGCTGGTCATAAAATTAGAATATCATGAAAAAGTAGATTGATTTCAGTAATTCCATTTAAAAAGTGAAACTTGTATATTATATTCATACATTACATACAAACTCATATATTTCAGATGTTTATTTTGTTTAATTTTGATGATTACAAATGACAAATGAAAATCTCAAATTCATCATATCAGAAAATTAGAATATTACTGAAGACCAATAAAAACAAAGGATTTATAGAAATGTTGGCCAACTGAAAAGTATGAACATGAAAAGTATGAGCATGTACAGCACTCAGTATTTAGTTGGGCCTCCTTTGGCCTGTATTACTGCAGCAATGCGGCGTGGCATGGAGTCGATCAGTCTGTGGCACTGCTCAGGTGTTATGATAGCCCAGGTTGCTCTAATAGTGGCTTTTAGCTCTTCTGAATTGTTGGGTCTGGTGTATTGCATCTTCTTCTTCACAATACCCCATAGATTTTCTATGGGGTTAAGGTCAGGAGAGTTTGCTGGCCAATTAAGAACAGGGATACCATGGTCCTTCAACCAGGTACTGGTAGCTTTGGCACTGTGTGCAGGTGCCAAGTCCTGTTGGAAAATGAAATCTGCATCTCCAAAAAGTTGGTCAGCTGCAGGAAGCATGAAGTGCTCTAAAACTTCCTGGTATGTGGCTGCGTTGACCCTGGACCTCAGAAAACACAATGGACCAACACCAGCAGATGACATGGCACCCCAAACCATCACTGACTGTGGAAACTTTACACTGGACTTCAAGCAACGTGGATGAAGTGCCTCTCTTCTATTCCTCCAGACTCTGGGACCTTGATTTCCAAAGGAAATGCAAAATTTACTTTCATCAGAGAACATGACTTTGGACCACTCACCAGCAGTCCAGTCCTGTTTCTCTTTAGCCCAGGCAAGACGCTTCTGACGCTGTCTGTGGTTCAAGAGTGGCTTGACACAAGGAATGCGACAGCAGAAACCCATGTCTTTCATACGTCTGTGTGTGGTGGTTCTTGAAGCACTCACTCCAGCTGCAGTCCACTCTTTGTGAATCTCCCCCACATTTTTGAATGGGTTTTGTTTCACAATCCTCTCCAGGGTGCGGTTATCTCTCTTGCTTGTACACTTTTTTCGACCACATCTTTTCCTTCCCTTCGCCTCTCTATTAATGTGCTTGGACACTGAGCTCTGTGAACAGCCAGCCTCTTTAGCGATGACCTTTTGTGTCTTGCCCTCCTTGTGCAAGGTGTCGATGGTCGTCTTTTGGACAACTGTCAAGTCAGCAGTCTTCCCCATGATTGTGTAGCCTATAGAACTAGACTGAAAGACCATTTAAAGGCTTTTGCAGGTGGTTTGAGTTAATTAGCTGATTAGAGTGTGGCACCAGGGGCCATCAATTTTGAACCTTTTCACAATATTCTAATTTTCTGATATGATGAATTTGAGATTTTCATTTGTTGTCATTTGTAATCATCAAAATTAAACAAAATAAACATCTGAAATATATGAGTTTGTATGTAATGTATGAATATAATATACAAGTTTCACTTTTTAAATGGAATTACTGAAATCAATCTACTTTTTCATGATATTCTAATTTTATGACCAGCACCTGTATATACTACACTTAAAACCATCAGTTGGCCCCTTTATCGTTTTTAGCCACTATCAAATGTAGTTGTAAAGGCTCCTCACTTGTTGCTCTAGACCAGGGGTCTTCAATGTTTTCCAGGCCAAGGACCCCCTGACCCCAAACTGATGGCAAGATAGAGCAGAGACCCCCTCATTATATATATGGTATGAAATTGTGTTATATCAAACTGGTCCTATAGTCACTCTATTACAGATGGAGTTATGTAATTAAAGTAATTTCTCCCTGGGATTATTAAAGTATTTCTGATTCGGATTCCTGGTTGATGGGACAGGTATTGTGAATGAAACGGTGCCCAGTTTGAAAGAGCTCCTGTGTGTCGCTGAATGTGTGCATTGATGACTGAAAGACATCTTCTGCCTCCATTTATCTGTTTACTTCAGTGTGTTGAATGCATGATAATGTGTATTTAAAGATATTTCAATTAGTCAAAAAAAAAAAAGTTTGAAATCAACCAAAGCTTTCACGACCCTCATGCAGTACCTCTGCAGACTCCCTGTTGAAGACCTCTGCTCTAGACCAGGCATCCCCAACCTCGGTCCTCGATGCCCGCTGTCCTGCAGGTTTTAGAGGTTTCCCTGCTTTAGCACAGCTGATTATAATGATTGCAGTAGAGCAAAATCCTGTTAATCAGCTTTCAATTATAATCAGCTGTGCTTGAGCAAGGAAACCTCTAAAACCTGCAGCACAGCAGGCCTCGAGGACCGAGGTTGGGGATGTCTGCTCTAGACCATAGTTTGCAGACCCCTGGAGTAGGTCATTACCATCTATAGCAGGCATCCCCAACGTCGGTCCTCGAGGGCCACTGTCCTGTAGGTTTTAGAGGTTTACCTGCTTCGGCACAGCTGATTTACTTTGATAGTTGATTAAAAGGCTTTTGCTGAACTGCAATCATCAGAATCAGCTGTACTAAAACAGAGAAACCTCTAAAACCTGCAGGACAGCAGCCCTTGAGGACCAACTTTGGGTATGCCTGATCTATAGTCAAATGATAAAGAAAGGGATTTAACTACACTGATTCAACAAAAAGGAATTTACAGTGATTCTCCAACTACAGTCAAAACTGGTCGTTATATTTTCCAGAAATCCAAAACATATCATTTAGAATTTCAAATCACAACATTTTAACACTCTGATCTCTATTTTAGAGTTAGCATAAAATATACTCGAACTACATAATATAAAATAGTATTTTTCTCATTCATACATTCAAAGAAGAAAAGGAGGTGTTTGGTATTGATTATTAATAATATACACTTGGTTTTGCCAAACTATGTTGATTTTTTTTTCTTGTTTCCCTTCCTTCCATGAGGCCAACACTGCTATCTTGCCAGTAGCTCTCGCATCAGATTACAGATGTGATGAAAAAAAAGGCAGGTTTAAATAAAAAATGATGGTGACAGGTGTTATTTTGATGAAAAATAAAATTATATATATTCTAAGTACATTATATTTTTCATTGAATTTAGCAATTTCTGTGCCATTTCTCGATAGTTACTGTTGAATAAAACTTTACTTCAGTCATATGAGGAACTACTTCTGTTTCCTTGAACCCCAGTCGGCCTCGGCAGATGGCCGCTTACACTGAGCCTGGTTCTGCTGGAGGTTTCTTCCTGTTAAAAGGGAATTTTTCCTCTCCACTGTCACTACAAGCATGCTTAGTGTGAGGGATTGCCTTCGAGTCAATGAGTCGATGCGATCAACTGGTTTTCCTTATACTGAAAACTTTAAATCAATCTGACTGTATGATCTGGTGAACTGTAACTGCCTTCAGATGACGTGTTGTGAATTGGCGCTATATAAATAAACTGAATTGAATTAAACTGAATTGAGAGTCAAAAAGCGAAAGGGAGAAGATGAACACCAGAACACAAGACAGTTTTAGCAGGAAATGAAGAGGAATTAATGCAACGAATTTATGTGACATTTTCTAAGGAGCAGTTTAATTTACAAGGGACGGTTTTGTGATTACACCAGCTATATACATACAAAAATAAAAATAATGGCTACATTTCCTCTTTATTTTTGTTTTGTTTTGGGAAATGACCTATGGTGTAGCGGTGCTCACATTTCCTGAAACATTAAAAGCACCATTTGGAAAGGTGCAGGTGCTTCCTTAATTAGGCTGATGAGCTCCACCTGTGGGGACTTCAGAGGATTGCCCAGTTTAGGAGCCCAGAAAAAACATCTTAGAGAAACTGTTAAAAGTTTACTTTTAGAGTTAAAACATATTTTTATTAAATTCTAAGAACCTGTTGGGACAACTGGAGGCTGCTACAATAAAAGATACCGTTCAAGTTGAAAGGTAGGGAGTTATAACATCTCCTGCCCCCTACAGAGCTATAGGTAGTCCAATAGTTTCCCTACAAATAATCTCTGTACTTTGAAGGTTGACTGAGCAAAATGCTTATTCTGTCCTTAGACTGTCTGGGAAACACCTAAACGGAGCAACAGTTTGCAAGGACACCACTCTTTGGAAACAGCAGAACTCTGCCTGTAAGTTTTTCTATTTTCCCCAACGTCACTGTAGCTACCCAATCTACACCGCTGTTAGAAGGAAATCTGTGAACCGTGACACATTGTGACTCAAGCACCTTTACTATATTAATACCTATACCTAAAGAAGTCAGTAGTGAAATGCACTGCAAAAATCAACTAGAAAGAAGTAAACATTTCTTAAAATAAGTGCATTAACCCTTAATTTAAGCAGGAAAGTAAGATTATTTGCCATTGGAATGAGATTTTAATTCTTAAAACAAGATTATTAAATAATATGCACTTGAAATCAGACAAAGTAATTGTTTTTTTTTCTTATTTTAAATATAAATTGTCTTGTTCCATTTGCAAAGTGTTTTACTTACCTCCTCAATTCAAGAAAAAATGCACTTATTTCAAGAGAAAATTACTTATTTAGATTTGTTATTATTTTTTTGCAGTGTACTGTACATG